GTGATGGACATCGAGCCAAAGGTGGCCAGGACCCAGGTGAGGGAGCTCTGGTGATGGGACGGGAGAGGCGGTGTTGGGGGGCAGTGATGCTGGGGGGATCCCTGGCTTGTTCAGAGACACAGACCCTGCTGGGGGTCGCCGGTGGGGATCCATGGGACAAACCCAGTGACCTTCCTCTGTTGGCAGATGGGGCTGGATCCGGCCCTCGACGCGGCAGCGAGTGGCTGCACTGGGGACACCGGTTCCTCCTCTGGCTCCACAACCGAGGTGGGTGCAGTGGCACCAGGGGGGCAGATGTTGAACTGACACCCCCCCCCCCATCCAGACTGGGTCCTTCTTGGATCCAGTTTAATCCAAGCACAAGGGCTCCATCCTGCCCTGCTCAGCATCACCTCTGTGTCCCTGCCAGGAGCAAGACTGTCCTGGGATGCCAGAGCAGGATGAGAGCCAGGACCCGCCACCAGCAACAAGCCCCCCTCCAGACCCCAGCGAGACCCTCACCTCCCTCTGAGCCCGGAACCGGTGCCTCCGGGTGCCACCAGTGGATAACGTTGTTCCCCCATAACCGTGATGTGCTTCCACCCCCATCCCGGCTGGAATAAAGGCAGAGGAGGCGGTGACAGGAGGTGGTCCATCTCCATCCTGCAATAGCCCACGGCTGCCTGGGCTGGCTGCCATGGGAGTGCGGGGGGGTCCCCGCCTGTGGCTTTATGGTGCCCGAAGCTGAGTGCAGGAAGGATTTGTCGCCCTGCTCTCAGCGCCCGGCGCCGCTGTGACTCAGGAAGAAGGTGCGGAGCCAGTTCTGCCGGCTCCAGGGAATGTGCTGCCATGCACAAACCAGACAGTGCCCGAACTTAACCCCCTGCTGCAAATGTCCCACACATCAAAGCAAAACCCCACTGCCATTTACTGCTCCGGGGCAGGAGCTTCATGGAACCATGGAATGGTTTGGGTTGAAGGGACCTGAAAGCTCCTCCAGCTCCAATCCAGCCCCAGGGACCCCTTCCACTGGAGCAGGGTGCTCCAAGTCCCTGTGTCCAACCTGGCCTTGAACACTGCCAGGGATGGGGCAGCCACAGCTTCTCTGGGCACCCTGTGCCAGCGCCTCAGCACCCTCCCAGGGAAGAGCTTCTGCCCCAGAGCTCATCTCAGTCTCCCCCCGGGCAGGTTAAAGCCATTCCCCTTGGCCTGTCCCTGCATCCCTTGTCCCAAGCCCCTCTCCAGGTTCCCTGCAAGCCCCTTCAGGCCCTGGAGCTGCTCTCAGGTCTCCCCTTCCCGCAGCAGAGGGGCAGGATCCCCTCCCGGAGCTGCTGCTCCCGCTCTGGGGATGCAGCCCCACACTGGGGGGGTTCTGGGCTCCCTGAAGCCGGCTCTTGGGGACCCCAAGTCCCTCTCCTCAGGGCTGCTCCATCCTGTGTCCGTCCCCCCCCCCCATCCCATCCCTGCGCTCCGGGCGGGCTCCGCAGCGCGCACGGGGTTAACGGGGGCGGTGTTCCTGGCTCGGCTGCCGCCGCCGGACTGGAAAGGTGAGGCAGGAAAAGGGCAACGCCTGGGCGCGGGCCGCACATGGTGCCGGCAGCCGCGGGCCCGGCTCGGCGGGCGCAGGTAGGAGCGGGGGGGACCCCGACGTGGACCCTTGGAGGGGGGGTGTGGTTTGCACGGGGAGGCCACGAGGGATGCCCCAGGCTGGGTGCGGGTGGCACCGAGATGTCGATGTGGGACGGGGGCTTCCAGGTGGGTTTCGGGTGGATGCGGAGGTGAAGGGGTTGAGCTTGCTGCAGGCAAGAGGGAGAAACAGCGAATCCAGTGGGAAAGCTGCGCGGGTGCAGGGGAGAGGGGAGCGCTGCACCCGGGATACCCCCCCCGGGACACGGGGAGAGGTGGGGGTGAGCTGCAGGGATGTTCTGTGCATCCCGGCCTCCATTCACCGGGAATGGGAATGGGAATGGGGGGGCTGTGAGCGGAGCATCCCGCATGGAGTTTTTAGGGAGCAGAGCTGCAGCTTTGTGGTGGGAACGGCTCTTGGGCAACTTGGCCTGAGAGGAAGAATAAGGAAGATTATGGGGTGGTTCTTGTACAACCCCTGCATGGCTTGGAAAACACATGGAGATCCATGGGGATCCGGTGCGCTGGGACGTGAGTCACTGCTCCCTGTCAGCCCCCGGAGGCTCTGACCTGCAGCAGCTGGATCCTGGCACAGCAACACATCCCATGGTTTTCCGTGCCGTGGAGCATGGGGCTCCCTCTCACCTGGTTTAAACCCCTGCTGGGTCCCAGCTCTCCATTTCCAGGTGGTGTGGGCATGGAACTGGTTTGTGTTTCCCATTGGCAATGCCAAACGCTTCCCAAGAAGCCCTGTCCCCATCTTGCACCGGCTCCTGCCCATCCAGCAGCACCTTTTCCTCTTCTCCCTTCCATCCCAAGCTTCCATGCTGGGGGAATGTGACCCATGTCCTGCGCTGAAGCTGCTTGAGGGGAAGCTTGTGGTTGGTTTTGGGAAGTGCCTTCAAGCTCCTTGGCGCCCAGACATCGCCACCAGAGGAGCCCAATGAGCTTTAAAGCGGAGCTGGGTTTAAAGCAAAGCTGGGTTTAAATTAAACTGGGTTTAAAGTGAAGCCGGGTTTATAAGTGAAGCTGGTTTAAAGAGAAGCCGGGTTTAAAGCAAAGCTGGGTTTAAAGCAAAGCTGGATCTAAAGCAAAGCTGGGTTTAAAGTGAAGCTGAATCTAAAGCAAAGCTGGGTTTAAAGTGAAGCTGAATCTAAAGCAAAGCTGGGTTTAAAGCAAAGCTGGGATTAAAGAAAAGCTGTGTTTAAAATAAGATGGGTTTAAAGCGAAGCCGGGTTTAAAGTGAAGCCCAGTTCAAAGCGAAGCTGGGTTTAAAGTGAAGCTGGGTTTAAAGCAAAGCTGGGTTTAAAGGGAAGCCGGGTTTAAAGCAAAGATGGATCTAAAGCAAAGCCAGGTTTAAAGGGAAGCCGGGTTTATTGAGCTGGTGGCTTGTGCCAGCCTGGGCTTGAGCTTGGGGTGAAGTTGTTGGGGACCTGGCTGAGAGCTGGGTGCTGGTCCCTGCCTGTGGGAGATGGTGCCCACAACTCTCCCACGCTCTGGGAAGGGGGAAACGCTCTTCCCAACTTCCTGTGGCAGCCCTCGAAAGCAGAACTGCTGCTGGGGGGATGTTGTGCAACCCCTGCGTCACGAGGGCACAACGGGGCAGGGCCAGAGCCGGGGAGTGAATCCCACTGCAGCTGCGGGTTTAGCATCCCCCAGCCCGCGTGCTGCATCCCCAGGGCTCGGCCCCACCGGGATGAAGGTCGTGGTTTAGCAGCTTCCTCACTGCAGGAAGAACGTTCCGGCTGCAGGAACAGACAGGAGGATCCGGGAGGAGGTCAGGGCAATTTGAAGCTCTGGGAGCTGGAATTGCAGAGTCAGTGCCTGGGTTTTCCAGCATTCCCCAGCCTGCTCCTCACCTCCCCACCGAGGCCTTGGCTCCGGCTGGCGCTGCCCGGCCGTGCCCTGCGCCGGGTGCTCTGTGAATTCATCACTTGTGTTCTGGGTTTCGGCAGCTCTGAAGGAGCCCAGACCTTCCCCTGCGAGGAGCCGATGCCATGGAAGGGGATCAGCCCCCTCTGACCGCAGGTGAGCGCCCCAGGACAGCTCTGCCCTTGGTGAACCCCTGGTGAGACCTTGCCCAGGGCCACTGCCTGCCCCATCCAGCTATGCCTGGCTCAGAACCTGCCTTGCTCACCTTCCCCTCCCTCCTTCTCTCCTGCTTTGATGAAGGAAGCAGGAGAGCAGTGCTCAAGGCCAGGGTGGACAGGGCTTGGAGCAACCTGCTCTAGTGGGAGGAGGCAGGGGCTTGGAACTGAATGAGCTTTAAGGTGCTTTCTAACCCAAACCGTTCCATGATTCTATGATCCAAGAAGAGCTGACAACCCCCTTCCTGAAGAAGGCTCACTCTCCACCTCTCCATGAGGACGCCAACACCGTGGTCATCGCAGGTAGGGCTTCTCCTTGCCACATCCAGCCCATTTACCGAGGGGCAGCTCAGTACCAACCACCCTAGGGCTCCCCCCTGCTCCTCCCTCTGCTTTCTGCTGGCAGTTGTCATCACGTTGGTGTTCCTCACCCTGCTGACGGTCCTGGTGGTGATCATCATCTACCTGTACAGAAACAAAGGCAGCTACCTCACCTACGAGCAGCCGGCAGCAGAGACCGACGTGGCGGTGCAGATGGAGGATGCTCCAGCCAAAGAGAAAGAAGAGTATTTCATCTAAGGCACGGCTCCAGCGCACACCTCTCGTGCTCTCAGGGCCGAACTTCCTGGAGTTGGGGATTTCCAAGCTGCTTTTGAATTCTTTGCCTTAATTTATTAAGCCAAGCATGGAAGGAAACACACACACCCCACACCCCCCCCCTCCAGGGATGCGTCAGAGCTTTGCCCATCACTGCCTGCCTGGAGCACACCAAGGGCAGGAGGAGAGCAGCACCCCCCCAGCCCCTCCCTGCAGTGCCTTTGAATACAACCCAGTGACAAACTGAGGAGTCCCTGTTCTTTTCTTTGCCCTTAGCTCAAACCCCACATTAAGCTCCTCCTATGGGATGGGGTGATGGACATGGAGGCGAAGGTGAAGCCTACAGGTAGAATAGGCTGAGGGACCATGCAGTGAGAGCCCCACTGCAGCCCATAAACCCTGGAGCTGCTCATCCCTGACCTCAGAGGGCTCCAGGATGGCTTCATCCAGAGGCAGCTTTAGCACCTGCACATGGGCTCAGGCAGGTGGAGACAATGGTTTCCCTCTGCTTGTGTTCAGAACAGAGCTGGGGCAAGGAGCAGCTCCTCCCATCCCTCCTCTGCTCCTTGCTCAAGGCAATTCCTCCTTTAAACCAAGCCCCCAAACCCCCTCAAAGGAGGAAGCTCACAAAGCACCAGTGAAGAGGAAATCAGTGCAGAAGCCCTGAAGCTTGTGGTGGTATCTGAGGCTAATGCAAAGTGGCTCCTTCAGTCAAATTTTCAAAATAGTCTTTATTCTACTTCTTTTTAGTATAAAAAAATCCACAAGTTAAGTGCACCACAGTGTATACAGAGAGAGACGTAATGCCGAGCTTCCTAACAGTCAGTTGATGGTTAAACACAACAGGGACAAGACAGGTTTAGATTCAACTGAAACCTCAAGATAAAATATATCTGAATCTGGTATTTGTCTTCATAAAACAACAACAACAACAACAACAAAAGAAAAACACCTCAAAACCAAACCCAAAACACGGAGGATCCCTGAAATATTCTTCTTACCCCTAATAAGACTTCATTGTTTTAAAGTATGCATTCAGAAACCAAGCCATTGAGCCGGCTCACTCGGGTGTTGATGGGCAGATGGTAACCACCCGCTCTGTTTGAGCAACAGCCGGAAGGAGTTTGGGTGTCAAGACACCAGTTGAGTTTGAAAGCAAGGAAGAAGGAGGTTGGTTATTAAGCATCGCTCTAAAAGCCTCATTAGCACTGAATGAAAGGAACATGAGCTGCGTTGTGTTTCTGGCACCAAAGCATGGCTTTGATTAGATCTAGTGTGCAAAGAAATCCAAGATTACTTGGAGTGTCTAAAACCAATCCCATGAGCCGCCAGCTGCAAACCTTCCTGCAGGGAAGCGATGGGCGAGCAGGGAGCGCTCCCAGGGATGCGTCCTCAGTGAGGTCAGCAAGGGAGAGGTGCCAGGGTGCCCTGCTCGCTGCTGGGAATCGCTGCTCTCCCCAGCACCTTTGCTTCAGTACAAGGGAAGCCCGGGTGCTCGTGGCTCTGGGTGCAGCGGGCCCGGAGGAGCAGGAAGGGAAGGGGGAAGCGGATCCGCTCCCTCACCCATCCCAAAGCCAGTGTGGAAGGAGCTGATTCCTACGAGCTCAGCGCTGCGGTGAGTGAAAGGAAGAGGCAGGGCTGCTGCCCTCCCATTCATCCCATGGATTAATTCCCCCTTCCCGCTCCAACAGAGGCACCGCCAGCATCACCAGGGCTTCGTGCTTCACCTCAACGTGCCTGCAGGCACCGAACCAGGAGACACCGCACCGCTTCGTGTCTACTCTGCAACTTCAGGTTAATATGGACTAAAGCAGTTACATCGTGAGAAGTGCTGACAGAATGTGATGTCTTTCCTTACACAAATGTAGCCCCCCCTCTCCCCCCCTTCCCCTTCCTCCTTCACCAGATAGTGTAGCCGCCATCTGAGCCTCCCAGGAAGAAGTTGCCCTTCCGTTGTGTCACCAAGACGTTGGCTCCCTGCATTACGGCCAGCTGGGCGGCGTTGGGGGGGCAGCCAGGAGGGGGGGGCTGCAAGACAGAGAAAGGAGAGGCAGGGCATAGCTGAGGTCACTGGGACAAAGCCGTCACTCCCAGTTTGTGTGCCTGTTGCTAAAGAAGCAAAGACAGAGCCCAGGAGCTGAGGGGAACCCCCAGGTTAAACAGGCACAAGCAGGAGCCTGCTCTTGGCCCAAATGATGGATCAGGTTAAGATGTTTTCCTCAGGAAACAGAGGACACCTCCCCCACATCTCCGCAAACATCCAGTGCTGAAGCACACAGGGTTTTACAATCATAGAATCGTGGAACAGGCTGGGATGGAAGGGACCTTAAAGCTCCTCCAGCTCCAACCCCTTCCACTGGAGCAGGGTGCTCCAAGCCCCTGTGTCCCACCTGGCCTTGAGCACTGCCAGGGATGGGGCATACAATGCTGCAGACAAAGTTATACTCACAGGGATGCTGGCGGTTCCACCAGCTCCAAACCTCGCTCCAGCATCAAAGCCACCTTCAACAAGGACTGTGGATCCCGGGGGATAAACCGGTCCCACGGGATAGTATGCCATGGGGACCGAGGAGCTGAGCGGACCCACGGCCACCGACTGGGCCATGGGCAGGAAGACCCCCGGGTATGCTGCAGACATGGTGGGCACGGTGGCAGCCCCCAGCGGCACAAAGCTGGGACGGTAAAGCTGGGGAGAAAAGAAGGCACGCAAGGAAGTTGAGAGACGTAAGTCATGGAATCATGGAATGCTGTGAGTTGGAAGGGACCTTAAAACTCATCCAGCTCCAACCCCTGCCATGGGCAGGGACACCTTCCACTACATCGTGGGCTGGGCTACACTCCCAGAGCGTGAGCAGCAGCTCGGGGGGGGGGATCCTGCCCCTCTGCTGCATGAAGGGGAGACCCCCCCTGCAGTCCTGATCCAGCTCTGGGGCAGCAGCACAAGAGGGACATGGAGCTGTTGGAGTGAGGCCAGAGGAGGCCATGGGGATGCTGCGAGGGCTGGAGCAGCTCTGCTCTGGAGCCAGGCTGAGAGAGCTGGGCTGGGGCAGCCTGGACAAGAGAAGGCTCCTGAAGGGGAGACCTGAGAGCAGCTCCAGTGCCTGAAGGGGCTGCAGGGAACCTGGAGAGGGGCTTGGGACAAGGGATGGAGGGACAGGCCAAGGGGAATGGCTTTAACTTGCCAGGGGGGAGACTGAGATGAGCTCTGGGGCAGAAGCTCTTCCCTGTGAGGGTGCTGAGGCGCTGGCACAGGGTGCCCAGAGAAGCTGTGGCTGCCCCATCCCTGGCAGTGCTCAAGGCCAGGTTGGACACAGGGGCTCGGAGCACCCTGCTCCAGTGGGAGGGGTCCCTGGAGCTGAGTGAGCTTTACTCCCCCTTCATCCCACCCCATTCCATGATAAAATAAAGGCTCCAGAGCAGCATCCCACCTACCTCGGAATAAGCAGGAGGTGCATCTGTGTAGGGTGGCGGCTGTGGCAGGGGCACGCTCTGTGGGTACACGGCGGCGCTGGCCGGAGCCTGCACAGGGTAGGAGGGCTGGGTGGGATATTGTCCTGCGGGGAACAGGGGGGTCAGACCCACGTTTTGGGGGGGGGGGGGGGGTACCACACAACACCTCTGCTTCAGAGCCCCAATTCAGCCCTTTCCTCTGGGCCGGGGGGGGGCTGATGGTGTCCCCCCCACTACCCCATGGCCCCCCCCATGGGTGCCCCTGCCCCACTCCCCCTGCTCTGTGTGGGGAGAACTGCCCCCCATCCACGTTGCTCCTGAGGGATCTCCCCGACTGCGAACCCCGACCCCGTCACTCGGGGTCCCCCTTGTGCCCCCCCCCATTACATCACCCAGAGGGGCTCCTGCACCCGCCATAAGATGGGGTCCATTCTGACGTCATCCAGGGGATTCCCTACGTCAGCGGGGAGGGGGGGGGGGCTCCCGCACCTCAGCGCGCCCCCTTCTCTCCCCCCTGCGTCACGCCCACCCCCGCTTCGGAGCATCCGCTACGTCAGCGGGGGCTTCCCCCGTACGTCATAGAGGGGATCCTTTACGTCACGCGCCTCAGCCCCGTGCTACGTCACAAGGGGAGGGTCGTGTCGTGTCCCCCCGCCCCCCCGCCTTCCGGCGCCCACAGGGTTAAACCCGGGCCGAGGCGCGCGTTGCCATGGCGCCCCCCGCGCGCGCCCCCCGCCCCGCTCCCCATTGGCCGCCCCTCAGGCTCGCGCGGTCACGCGCTGCGGCGGCAACGCCCTTAAAGGGGCCGCGTCCCGGAGCGGCGCTGCCCGGTGCGGGGTTGGGGGGGGGGATGGGGGGGGGGAGGGGAGGTGTCCCGGTGGAACGGGGCGCGCCCCCGTCCCTGTCCCTTGCCTTTGCCGTTCATGGCGGCGGCGGCTCCGGCGGGTCCCGCTCGGTGTCACCGCGGCGCTGCGGGAGGGGGAAGGCCGCGGAAGGGGGGATGCGGAGGGGGGGGGGCGGTGGGGGGGTGGGTGGGGCAGGAAGCGTGCGCAGCGCGCAGGCGTGCGCCGTGGCGTCATCGCGCGCGGGGGCGAGGCCGAGCGCTCTTAAAGGGGCCACGGGCGGAGGGGCGGGGCCTCGAGGAGAAGCCCCGGGGGTCGGGGGGGGCTGAGGAGGGGTTGGGGGGCTCTGGGTGCCCTCAGCGGTGGGGGGATGTGTCCCCGAGCTGGGTCCTCGGGCAGGAGCAGGGAGCAGATGGGGCACGGGGCTGGAAGGGGCAGCACCGGGTTGGGCAGCGGGGGCTGGGGGGGGGGGAGCCTCCGGGTAGGCCCAAGGGGGGCCCGGGTAGGCCCAAGGGGTGAGAGGAGCCGGGGGGGCTCTGAATGGAGCTGGGGAGGGGAATGAGGGTCCCAGGTGGGGTGGGGAGGCCTGGGGCTGGGGGGGGACCATAACCAGGGTCCAGGGGGACCCTGCCCCACGGCCCTGACAGGCAGGAGCCTGCTGGGGGCCCAGGGCAGCCCTGGTGGTGAGTGAGGGGTCACCCCCCCCCGCGCTCCCCTGCTCCTGCCTCAGCACCCAGTGGAAGCAGCTGCCTCGGAGCTCGTGCATGAAAGATGAGTGCAAGGGTTGGTAACCTCCAGATACTGGGGAGCTGAAGGAAGCCCCAAGGACCAGAGAGGCCCCAGCGGGCAGAGCGGCTCCTCCGCACGGGTTACCTTGGTTCCCCTAACCCATGCCCTTGGGGTTGGTGGTACAAGCCCCACGGCCCTCCCCAGTTCCCCCTCTCTGCAGCCAGGAGTCCATAGGGACCCTTCTTTTGGGGGGGCCACCCTGCCATGGGACCCGTTGGCATCAGTGCGGTCTCCCCCAATACATGTGGGGCACAAAAGCCACTGAAGTGACCACAGCCCCCCCTTCCTGCCCCAAGAGGAGTCAGAATGCTGCCAGGTAGCTGAACATGGGGCCATGTGTGTGCATTCCGCAGGCTTGTTCTGCCCCCCTGTTCCCCTTCATCCAGCACCAGCACAGGAGAGGCCTCAGTGGGTTTATGGAAAGAAAGGGAGCACCTCTTTGATTCTAGCACTCTTTTGCCTTGTATTCAGGGCTGCATTTACAGAAGCTTGCAGTCATTGTCCAGTCCTGTTCAACAAAGCTTTGGTATCTCTTTGGCTTAAAGACGCCATGGGGTGAAAGGAGGGGAGGGGGGCTTCTGGTGATAACCTTTAGTGAGTCTGGGGTGAGTTATGGGGCTTAAACATGTCACAAAACTCTTGCAGGTGCTGCCTGCTGCTGATCTGCCAGCAGAAGGTGCACTTGGAGGACTGGAGCTGTGCACAGAAGGTAAGGGGGAGCCTTGTTCTGTGTGAAGCCTTGCGCAAAACGGTGATGTAGATCGACAGCAATGAAAAGAGCACAATGAAGTGTAAAATCCCCCTGTGATAAACTTTCTGGCTGCATTTTGGGCAGAGTTGAAGGGCACAGCTCTTTACCAAGCTCGTTTCCAGGCATCTCAATCAAGAAGATCATTGTTCTCTTCCCTATTTAAGCGACCTCCTCATGAATAATGTACCGCCTGCCTGATGAATATGCATGCTGCCTGGTGTGCCTGGGAGGGCTCCATCAATAATTCATGCCTGGAGACGTCCTTCACCTTGCAGCTGTGCAGGAACTGTAAAAAATAATACGAATAATTGGAAAATTACCCCTGAAAGCAGGAGAGGAGGTGGCTGGAAATCTGCCCTGGGAAACATGGAATGGGGGGGGTGTAAAGTGTGAGCAAAGTAAGTGAAGGGCAGAGCGTGTGTGTTCCCAAACCCAGCCCCAGGGCTTGCAGGAACTGCTCAGGATTAAGCCCCTTCAGCAGCTCCTGGCTTCAGACCCTGAGTTATTCCAACAAATGGGCTTTTTTTCCACTCTCCCCTTCTCATTACACAGAAAACTTCCTTGCAAAGGAAGCATGAAAGGCTCTGCGAGGTGGGAAAGGCGAGGAGACCGGGTTCGCATTCAGTGGAGCCGGGCTCTTTGGGAGGCCCCAGCCTTCACGTCCCTTGGGATTGTTTTCAGTTGTATTTTCATTGCTGATCACCTCCTTTAAGGGCCCTCCTGGGACTCCAAGAGGGGGGCAAAACCCCCACTGAATTAACATGAAAAGCTCTGACTCGTCCTGAATCGTTCTTGTGCTGTGTGAGCAGCTTGTGCCCAGGCAGCCAGGAAGCCCCCAGCATCCCAGCCTGGCTCAGCACCAGTGCGGCAGCAGGGCCAGGGCAGGGATTGTGCCCCTGCACTGGGCACTGGGGAGGCTGCACCTCAAGTCCTGTGCTCAGCTCTGGGCCCCTCGCTGCAAGAGAGACATTGAGGGGCTGGAGTGGGGCCAGAGAAGAGCAATGGAGCTGGTGCAGGGCCTGGAGCCCAAGTGTGATGGGGAAGGGCTGAGGGACCTGGGGGGTTCAGGTGGAGAGGAGAAGGCTCAGGGGGGACCTGATGGCTGCCTACAACTGCCTAACAGGAGGATGGAGCCAGGAGGGGCTGGGCTCTGCTCCCAAGGACCATGGGATGGGACAAGAGGGAACGGCCTCAAGCTGCACCAGGGCAGGTTTAGATGGAGCTGAGGAGCAATTCCTGCCCCAGAGGGTGCTCAGGCATTGGAACAGGCTGCCCAGGGCAGGGCTGCAGGCACCATCCCTGCAAGTGCTCACACCCCATGGAGATGAGGCCTCAGTGCCATGGGGCAGTGGTGGCCTTGGCAGGGCTGGGAATGGTTGGACTGGATGAGCTTAAAGGGCTTTTCCACCCTGGTTGATTCTATGCTTCTAAAGCCTAAATGGCCGTGTCTGCACCTTGGGATGAGCTGAAAGTCCTTATTTCCACAGCCCAGGGTTATTGAAGCAGAGTGTGTGGGATAATCCCCGTTGTTTGCTACTTGAAGCAGCAAAACTCAAGCAGCAGTCAAAATTGAGCTCATTGCAGTGCCCTTATGAGCAGATCTGTGAAACTTTGCTGTGTGTAATCAGGGTGAAGAGGTACTTGGAGGCAGGGAGCACCCTCTGGGTGCAGGGCTATAATTAATTGCATAGGAGTAATGAATAAGCAGTTGTTAATTCCTGACTGATGTCTTCACCATGGGAAGTGCTCTCCTTCCTTCCCCCACCACTGAAATCCAGGGGGTTCTGGCCTTGGCTTTGCCAGAATGGGGTTTCACCCAGTGCCATGACACGGCCTGGAAGCTCTCATGGAAACCTGGGGCTTGTTTCCAGCTGGAAGGGGAAAAGCGAGGCTGAGGCTGGATCTAACCCAGCACCAACAAACCTGCATCAACCCCCCTGAGCTCAGGCTCAGGAGGTTTGTGTGCAGCTGGCGTCACTTTGCAATGGGGGAGGCAAAGTCCTGGCTCGCTTGTTCCGGGACAGTTCCTGGAACAGCTGGAATAAGCATCTCTGTGGTGTGTGTGTGGGGCTGGAGGCCTTCCCGGAGCAAATCAGACGTGGCAGAAGGGGCAGGGGCAGGTGCAGAGCCTCCTCTGCCCCATTGCCACGGGTGCTTCCGGGCCTGGCCAGGGAAGCTGCGCTATTCCCTTGGTCAGGAGTTGTCATCGCAGAGGAGCTCCGGAACAAAGGGCACATTCTTGCAGTCAGCACTTCAGTTTTGGAGCTCTTCCTGTCACCCAGTGCATTAATCCCCCCACCCCCTTCCAAAAAAAGCTCTTTTCCTGCAGGAAGAAAAAGCTTTCCAGCCCTCCTAAAGTCAATTCCCCTTCAAGAAGCATTAGAAATGCACCGAGAGCCCTTTACCCGATGTGCATTGTATGGCAGTGTATGGAAATGAGCCTGGATCCAATGAGACGGAAGCATTTAAATATTCATCATGCCAGTACAGCATATGCAAAGCAGGCTCTGGGCAGGGCTGTGCTGAGCCGCTTTCATTTGCTTTCTGTGGCTAATGAGGCTGGTAATGACGTGCTCGGCGCTGGGGCTGGAGCGGAGCGGGGCTGCGGCACCCGGAGCTCATGGGTGCCAAAGGCATTGCATTAAGTGAAGACTGAGGGGCTGGGTCAGCCCAAGGGCTGCTACCCCAGGGGACCCCCCTGTGCACGCGGGGAGGGACGTGGGGTGGGTGCAGCCACACGCTGGGTTTGCTCTTCTTTCCCCTTTAGGTCCGTGCTAGTGTGGCCGTTCCCTCGCGGGCGATGGGGAGAGCGCTGTGGTTGTCAGTGTCTCGGGATTGAAAGCCTCATTGGATGTCTCAGGCTCCTTAGCTGTGTGGAATCCCATCTCCCTTCTCATCCTTCCATAGCCTGGTGGTGTTTATTCACCTGTTTCCAGCAGGTATTGTTGCTTGCCATGGAAAGCTTTATGGCCTATCCAAAACCAGCTAGAAGAGCACTTAAAACTTTTTATGATCTCTTGTTATGATTTATTATCATTAGATCCCACCTGCAGTCCTGATCCAGCTCTGAGGGAAGAGCAGAAGGACTGGACCTGTTGGAATGAGTCCAGAGGAGGCCATGGGGATGCTGCGAGGGCTGGA